AATGATGGAGCATGCTTAAGGGACTGAATGGCCTACTCCTGTTTCTAGAACAAATAGTTTAAAAAAAACCCACAAAGTTTCATGGACTTTGTGACAAAACTGAGAGTTTTGCATAATATGCATTACTTGCATTTTCTTGTATTCAACAATGGCAGAAATAAGGTGTTAGAGTAGATTTGTAGCTTGGGTTGTGGACGTTGTGGTTGTTTGGCTCACCGAGCTGGTTCGTTGTTCCGCAGACGTTTCATTACCCTGCTGGGTAACATCATCGGTGCAGCCTCCGATGAAGCGCCATTCTGTTTTCCTGCCTGTTATTTAAACTCTGGATTCCGTTGAGCTGGATTACCTCCCTTCTGGTTTTCCTTCACAGTGGAGTGTATATGGGGTCGAGTTCTATGTGTTTGTTGATGGCTTTCTTCATGCAGTACCAGGCTTCTAGGAATTCCCGTGCTTGTCTCTGCTTTGCTTGTCCCAGGATCTTGGCAAGCCGCACACACTGACCAAGTACTGAATTTCAACAGCAACCACCCAAACACACAACAGACTGCAGCAGCACAGAGCTACGCCAAGAAGAAGAAGAGTATCTTCCAGGTATTCAAAGACAATGGATACCCGAATAACTGGGTCAGAAAATGCCTATTACACGAACGACACCAGGAAGATACTACACGCCCCGACACACTCATCATGCTACCTTACATCAGGAACACATCTGAACTGACCACAAGACTCCTATGACCATTGGGCATCAGAGTAGCACACAAACCCACATCAACCCTACGATAACTGCTCACCCGAATCAAAAGACCCACTACCCACTATGGACAGGACCAATGTCATATACAAGATTCCCTGCAGAGACTGTGGCAAACACTACATTGGACAAACAGGAAGGAAATTAACAACAAGGGCACACGAACATCAATTGGCTACAAAAAGACACGACCAATACTCACTCATCTCTATCCACATGGAAAAGGAGAACCACCAATTCGACTGGGACAACACCAATATCCTGGGACAAGCAAAGCAGAAACAAGCACGGGAATTCTTAAAAAGCCTGGTACTCCACGAAGAAAGCCACCAACAAACACATAGAGCTCGACCCCATATTCACTCCACTGTGAAGGAAAACCGGAAGTGAGGTAATCCAGCTAAACGGACACCAGAGATTAAATACCAGGTGGGAAAACACAACGGCGCTTCATCAGAGGCTGCACTGATGAGGTTACCCAGCATGGTAATGAAATGTCCGTGAAACAATGAACCAGCTCGGCGAGCCAACCAACTACAATAGCAGAAATATTCACAGGTGCTGGGACCTTCCTGGATTCCCAGTGCCAGTGACATTTTTAAAGCTCAGCTGTGCACCAAGTCACTCACTGTCAGCCACAGGTAGCACATCACAGTGTACGTAATGGGAGGGAAATGAAAAGGAGCAGCTTCTGAAGGCATATTGGTGACGTAGGTGACACTGTATTGGAAATATAAGTTCATGTTTGTAAATGTATTGCCACTTTACATTATCACCTGCCTGACTGACTGTCATTGTTAACTGCAGTGGCAAGAATCAAGCTACACAGGTTACCCATCCTTAAAGCTATAGCATGTGCTCCACTGTATCACGCTGAAGGTAGTGTTCCTTCTGCTCAATGTTCACATCTTCTTCCTTTTTTACATTATATAAGAACATAAGAAGTAGGAGCAGGAGCAGGCAATTCAGCCCGAAAGCCAGCTCTGTCATTTAATGCAATCATGGCTGGTCTCACCTTGACCTGAACTCCAGTTTGTCAGTTTGTGGTAGCAATTAGCCTTGATCATGTGGAGGAAATGGCAATGAGGATGAGAGATCCTGAACCTTCTGCATATTGTCCACATCCTGAGCAGACTATCAGCTGCGACCTCCTCACATGGAGGTTGTTTGACAGCTGCTGGAGTTTGCTGCTGGTCTTGGGGTTGCTGGTACGTCTGTTACTCCTCTATTTCTCTGCAGCCTCATCACACTGTAACCAGAGCGATGGCTGTGGTTGAATCCATTGGTCATGTTTCCAATGAATATGTGCGGGGAATATCAGAAGCAGAATGGGGTTTTAGTAATATGAACAGTCAGCATTCCCATCACACACAATGATGGATTAGTGTAATTCTCCGTCCAATGGTTCATGGAATGCCTCTACATGGACCTTTGACACAGGCACCTCATTCTGAAGCTTAAGCAATGTTGTGTTAAACACTGTAGGAGGTTGGAAATATGGAGTAGGATTAATGAGACCTTGTTCCCATCCCCCACTCCACTCCACGTCACATCACCCAAAAAAGGCAGAATTTCGTACAAGAGTATGTTGGCAAATACAGACTGATCAAGATGAGAGGAAATCAGCTCCATGACTTTGAATAGCCTATGGGGCCTTGTATTGTTTTTGGGAATTGTGGTTCACAAGGTGACACTTTTTGAAGGTCACTTGTGATTACTTATACCTCACAAAGGTGACAATGATTGATTTGTAATGACCTATGACATGATCAAGATTGTTTGTGTCTCGGATTTGTGTCCAATGTGGTTTTTCACTGCATGCATTTCATATGCTGGATTCCATGATCAGTGATGTCTACAACCTGCATAGTGTAAATGCCAATTAATGTGATTATCCCTTGAAAGGGCCTCACATGGCTTGCTGTTACACCCTGCATTCTCAGGCAGTAACCATCAGTCTACATCACCCCATCCACTCTAAGCATGGTGGCCGCCATTTTCCATTCCATGTAAATTTGTGACTTGGATGAGAATGGAAGCCAAACCAGGTATCACTGCACAGAGTGAGTTGTAGGCTTAGCCTGGTAATCTAGGTGATGCACCCCACCCCACCACTAAACTCTTCTTGTTCCTTTCTTCCTTGTGTTACTTGCTGACCCCATCATTTCTGAGCTTCCATACCTTCCTACGCAACTCTTCCATTGATGTTCTACTCTCCCAACAATGCTCTCTGATCCCTGGGTGCACAGTTAAGCCATGCCAAACACTGTGGTGCACTGTCCTCCTGCCAAAACCAGAGTGATAGTGACTGTCAATGACTCACTCTCTCGCAGTAACCCATGTCCTCCAATGTGCTATTGATAAGTCTTATATTCTGACAAACAACTTTGGTTGCCCAGATTGTCCTGCTCAGTACAGCACCATCATAGAGAAAGTGTGGAAACATTAAAAGTCATAGTCCATTTTAGCAATGAAACCGTCTATATGCACTGCAGATCTCAGGCATTGAGAGTTAGGAGCCAATCTATGGAACTAATTGAAATGCCATGAACATTTGCAGAAAATAACCAGAAAGACTAATGAATACTTCAGGTCTGGAGGAATAGACTACAAAGGTATGCTACAAATATGCAAAGCCTTAGTAAGGACCACACTGGGGTATTGTGAATGGTTTGGAGGACTACATGTAAGAAATAATATATTAGCCTTGCAAGGAGTGTAACGCAGATTTACTAGACTGACATCTGATTCCAAGGGTTAAATTATGAGCAGAGATTACACAAGACATTGGTGAGGCCACACCTGGAATTCTGTGTCCAGTTTTGGTCTCCTTATTGAGGAAGGATATTCTTGTTATAGAGGGAGTGCAGTGAAGGTTTACTAGACTGACTCCTGGGATGACGCGACTGATGCATGAGGCGAGATTGAATTGATTAGGATGGTATTCACTGGAGTTTAGAAGAATGAGGGGGGGTCTCATAAGACCTATAAAATTCTAACAGGACTAGACAGGTTAGATGCAGGAAGGATGTTCCTCATGGTGGGGGTGTCCAGACCAAGGGTCATACTTTAAGGATAAGGGGTAAACTTTTTAAGGCTGAAATAGGGAGAAATTTCTTCACCCAGAGAGTGGTGAACCTGTGGAATTCACCAGCACAAAAAGTGTTGAGGTCAAAACATTAGGTGTTTTCAAGAGAAGGCAGTTATAAAGGGCTAAAGGGATGTGGGAGGGAGGGCGAGTTTAGGCTATTGAGCTCAATGATCAGCCATGATCATATAGAATGGCAGAGCAGGCTCAAGGAGTCAGATAGCCTACTCCTGCCCCTATCCTCTATGTTTCTGTTACACAAACAAAGGCTGCATTTCCTGGAAGTTAGATTGTTAAGAGGTGATTTGATCAAAGCTTTCAAAATTTTAAGGGCAACAAATTGAGTAGATAGATTATTTTCAGTGTTTGACAGTATAGGACTGGGACTATAATTTTCAAACATGGAATTAGGTAACGTTTCTATATGCAAAAGGTGATAAAGATTTGGAACCCTCTTCTTCAATGATAAATGATGTCTGATCAATTATTAGCTTTAAAGGCGAGATTGATAGTTGTTTATAAACCATCTATATTATGTTATACGGGTAAACTGTGTTTTCAATCATTTATTGAACAAAGACTTCATTTGTCCTTCCAGGTGGACATAAAAGGTTTTTTGAAGAGAACGGGAATTATCCATAATGGCCTGGTCAATATTTACCCCTCAATTCAGGGGCAGGGACAAAAATCATGAGCACTAGTGCTGCTCCTGTCCTCCAATCCGAGTGCAGTGAGCCCCATAGAGCCCTTAGCCCCAGTCATTGAGGCTTGATGTATCCGATGGCCAGGGCCCTGCAAAATCAACATTGTGAAAACAGTTTATCTGGTCAGTTTAGCAGTATTCCTCTTTGTTGAAACTTGCTGCGTGCATATTGGATGCTGCATTTCTTACAACACTATTTCAACATGACTTCAATGGCTGTGACATGCTTTGGGATGTCTGGAATGTATTATCTATGACTTTACATTGATAATAGAATATTATGAAGCACTTCAACATAACATTTGTGTGAGAACATTTTTGCTGAGGAGAATATTTTATTTAGCACATTCTATTGTACTAATCTGATATTAAGATTGGAGAGACACAGATTTAAGTCTAAATATAGAGTTTATAAAAAGGTTGCAATTATTTCTAAGCTTCTCTTTCTTTTGCAGCTCATTGGATTTGTCTATGGATGTTATGTTATCAGCGTCTTTACAGAGGAAGAAGACAGCTGTAAGTAGTGGTGTGTGAAACTGTTAACTGCTTAATTAGAGCGAGACAGGTTATGTGTGAAGTGGGCCAGCTGTAACAGCTTTCAGTGAGAAAGTGAAGTAGGCTTTCCTCTTTCAAACCCATGTGAATTATAGGTTTCAGCTTCACTGACTTCTGGCATTAAAGGAGAAGAGTTAGCAGTCTCTGTGCCATAGCAGCTGCAACAAATATATTACTGGTTTTTTTGTGTGCAAAACATATGACTTGAATGTAACCAAAAAAAAAACTGGAGCGACAAGATTCTTCTCTTGATCAACTTAATTCACCAAAGCCAAGTTAAGTTTTAAAAATTAGCAAGAATTAAAACATTGAATTATTGAAACTGATTAAGGGAGATTTTTTATTATGAAGGTTTCTAGCTTCTCCAATTTTCAGTGCTTATTTTAGCAGTTCACACTGAGTCTGCGCTTAAGCACTGCCTTTTCTTGTACTTTTATGTGGAACGAGAAATAATGGATGCAAAATGTAATGTCATTATTGCTCCACACATACAAGTCAGTTTTAGTGCTATTTTACAGAAAGAACAACCACTGACAATGTACTACTATTCAAAAATGTTTTTTATTTGGAGAAAACAGTGCTATCGTAAAGATAACAAGCAAATTGTAGATAGCTAGCAAACAACTGGCTTGATCCGAAACTTGAAATGCAGGAATATGAAGCTGACTGTTTTCTTTAGTTTGGTTCAGCCACCGACATCCCATGCTCTGGAACTCTCCATGATAAACTTTTTCATATTGTTTCATTCCTCCAACTGCCATTAAATACAATCATATTTCAACTGCACCCATGGCCACCTTCTTAATTTCTTGCTGACCAAGGTCTAACCCCAAATCATGAAGCAGCTTTGGATGTTTTGTTAAATTTAAAGTTCTATAACTTAAGAGTATAAATGGAAATAGTTGTTGAAATGAACGTGATTTTAGACTTCCCCATGATAATGATAGTGGTGATGAGATGGAAAGCAAGATTCCTATCCATTCAACCCATTACGAACAGCAGCAGTTTCTTAAATGAGAGCAGCAGTCCTCTTCATAATATTAAGACCGGGCTCTGGATGATTTGTATGATCCATGATGAGGAGGGAGCAACTTGGCTCTCCTTTTTTCAGTCAATCTGCTCCCTCTATAGGTCACAATAAGGTTAACTTATATCTTTCCTCCTGGTCAACTTTCTCAATTCCAATGTATTTATGTTTTGAAAAGAGTCAATATAACCAGGCATTCTTGAGTTAAAGAAAGAATGACTTTATTAGTTACTAATATGTGAGGAAAAATAAAACGTAGCACATATGCACTCAGATTAGAGATGAAAAGTGAGTAAAAAGATAACATTTATAAAAGGTATACAATGTATTGTCCATGCAGAGTAGATGGTGATACATTGCAGCTTATGTTCCATCTAATTTGTTTCACTTTTGCACGGATATCTGAGGTCTATGAGTGGGAGCAACTTCAAAAGTGGATGTCAATGCTGGCAATGGTGTCTGTAGACCCTTGGAATGACTGCCTTTGGATGAATATTAGTTGCAGCCACTAAATTAGGTGATTCCGGTGGCATTGACCTAATACTTGAGTAGTTGAGTTTGAGCTTCTGGGTTTTACAGATTAACCAAAAGGAGTTGTCTGGTTTCCTATTCAACTGTGGCTTTTGCTTCCAGCATTTGGAGAAAGAGAGCTTTTCCATCCTTCACCTTTTACCCGTGAGTGTTGGCATCTCTAATAGATGCTTTTCAGCTGTAAACTTCACAGCACACTCTAGCCCAGTAGCATTATAACACCAGTTTAACACTCTAAAACTGTATTACTAGAATAGCACACTAGGACTAGAACAGCAGACCAGCACACCAGCACCAGAGCTGCAGATGGTCTTTAATTCCTTTTCTCTTGTATATTCTTGAAGGGTGAAGGCAGACATATTTCTCTGCTAGACTGTTTTCTGCTACCTGTCTTTATGTTCACAGTCTGAGGATATAACTCATAGAAAGTGGTTCAGGTTTTTTTGCATTGTATCACTTTCTTTAGAGCATTGCTCTGAAATCCCTTGACACCCTGCTAAGTGTGACATTCCAGGGGCTCTCATGGTGCTGAATATAATCCACAAGGGAATTTACCAGACTGTCACTGAATTACATTCTCAGCCATCTCTGGCTTATATATCCTTTCTTAACAACCATATAACCTGCCTCACATAAAAGTTGTGTATGCCCGTAAGTAATTCAGGCTACGATCCACTGTCAAGGCAGCAATTCTATATCTAGAATAGACTATAATAAATTCATTCAGAATTGGACTTTACAAATCCAAAACTTGGCTTATAAATGGACATCTTCCTGAGAATTTTTTTACAAGAAAGTATCAAGACCATTTGAAAGTGGCTACAAAGTCTACTGAATTTTAGCTAGTATATTTTACATTTTATTTCAACAACAATACATCTGCTTCTGTCAAATTGCTTGAACAGTTATCTTGAATGGTTTTCTGCATATTTTCATTTCACAGCAATTCATTTCTCACCTGAAAAGTGGGTAAACATCAGTTGGATAAATGGTGCTTCATTGGTACCAACTCCCATCGAATGCTCTTTTTTCAAAAAATAATTGTAAGGTAGTCTATGCTTGGTAGTATTTTAAATAATTTGAGCTACTTTAGTCTGTCTAAAATAAATTTAAAAGCAGAGACTAAAGTGCTCCATTAGAAAAATGGCATGGCTCATGACTATGTATTACAAATAGTTCAAAACATATATATATTCATGAATGTGTTCATGCAATTTATGTGTAGTGAAAATCTCTTGTTTCAATTTTTTTCATAAAATATGCTACCCTATCATTTTTTTTTAATTTGGTGAGTCTACTGATTTCCATTGGAAATTAAAATGGATCATTGTATTACTCTAGGAGCTAATCCAGCACCAGCCAGTTTCCATCCAACAGTAAAAGTAAATATTAACACCGGGTATTTATACAACATTTGAATATGTGTCCTTTCGAAATTCACTGCAAGGGTGGTTAGAGAACAGGAGAATGTTCCTTAGCTTCACTTTTACTCAAATAATTTTTAATTTCTCACCTAAATTGATGACATCAGTTCGCAGCAGAGAGATGTTGCAATGGACTGACAGCTGCCTACCAATTTGTACTTCCCTGTTTGGACAAGAGGCCAAGTTATTGATGTAAAAAATGTAGCAAGAAACAAATCATATTTGATGGTTTGAAATACAATGGCTGTGTAACAGATGTTTAAACATTGTTACATATCACAAAATGTATAGAGTAGTATTGGTGATTAATAATTGAATATATGGAGTACAGATAATCTATGAACATGAATCAAACCCTGGGATAAATTTTCACCTTAAATTCTCTTTGTCATTCTTTAATATGTATCATTGTTATTCATTAGGCTACTTTTAGGATGCAATTTTCACCTCTCTGGAAGTGGAGAAAGAGGTTGCAAAAAGGGGCTATAATGGAATAATTGGCCCTGAAGCAATACTTGCCACCTCACAAATCAAGTGTTGTGCCAGGAAGTCCACTGGAGACTTTCTTTACTCAGCAGCAATTAAGACCATTAAATAGTCAAGTAATGTCTAAGTAAAGACCTCAACTCACCATCCTCCCAATTACCTGTCTTCCCAACTGGTAGGAAAATTGGCATCCTGCATGGGTCATTAGAGTTATGTCCAGATTGGAAATGATCAACGTTGGGTCATTCAGAGGAACAGATAATGGGAAAATGGATGGCTTCTGAAAGCTACTCTTTACCACGCCCACCCTCCAATTGCTCTCTTCCTATGAGAAGCTGGAGGAAATGGGCTGCCTTCTCATTAGAACATAGGACTGTACAGCACAGGAACGGGCCCTTTGGCCCACAATGTTGTGCCAAACATGACAGCAGATTAAACTAATCCCTTCCGCTTGCCATTGGTCCATATCCCTCCAATCCTTGCATATTCGTGTGCTTATCCAAAAACCCCTTAAATGCCCCTATTGTATCTGCCTCCACCACCACCTGTGGCAGTGCTTTCCAGACTCCTACCACTCACTGTGCAAAAAAACTTTCCCCTCATGTCTCCTTTGAATTTTCCCTCTCTAACCTTAAATGCATGCCCCCTAGTATTAGGTATTTCAACTCTGGAATAGGGAATCTGACCAATAACCTTATCTATGCATCTCATTATTTTATAAACTTCTATCAAGTCTCCCCTCAGCCTGTGCTGCTCCAGAGAAAACAACCTAAGTTTTTCGAGCCTCTCCTTATAGCTCGTACCCTCTAATCCAGGCAGCATCCTGGTAAACCTCTTCTGCACCCTCTCCAAAACCTCCACACCCTTCCTGTAATGTGGCAACCAGAATTGAACACAATACTCTAAATGTGGCCTAACCTAAGTCTTATAAAGCCACAATGTGACTCTTGTACTCAATTCCCTGACCAATAAAGGCAAGAATGCCATATGCCTTCTTTACCACTCTATCTACTTGCTTGGCAACTTTGAGGGAGCCATTAACTGTATACTTTTCCTTAACATTTGATCTTCCAAAGTGCAGCACCTCATACTTACTCAGATTAAACTCCATCTGCCATTTCTCTGCCCGTATCTGCAACTGATCTACATCCTGCTGTATCCTTTGACAACCTTCTACACTATCCACAACTCCACCGATCTTTGTATCGTCTGTAAACTTACTAATCCACCATTTGCAATTTTATCTAAATCATTTTTATATATCACAAGCAGCAGAAGTCCCCCTACAGATCCTTGCGGAACATCAGTAGTTATGGACCTCCACCCTGAAAAACACCCTTCCATCTTAATCTTCTGGGTGAGCCTACTATGAGGGACCTTGCCGAAAACCTTACTAAAATCCATGTAAAGAACATACACTGCTCTACCCTCATCGATCACCTTCATCACCTCCTTGAAAAATTCAATCAAGTTAGTAAGACATGACCTACCCT